GGCATCTTAGCACAAATCAAGATAGTGGTAACAAACTAACAAATTACGCTAGAAGTCGTATTCTCCACCATCATGCACTTCATTTTTTTAAAGCCAACCGTACTTAAGACGGTCTTTGATGAAGTAGTAAAAATTACTAACTTGAGTACATCTTGACCCTTCGGTACATGTTTTTAATATTCCCCATGTTGAAATGGGAGGTGTACATAAGCACTCCCACTCACTGCGGAAGTACTATAGTTGTCACAAAGAAAAGCGTTTGAGTTGTGAGCTGAACTGCTCATTTTTTTACTTGAATGACTGACATTATTCTTGAATATTCTTGAAAATGAACAAAATGAACCTGCCATATTAAGTAAACAGGAAGTGATGTTAATTGCCAACAATAAAATTTGAGCTTCCAATAAAAAATTAAATTTGGTAAAACATTTAGCATCCACCATGAGCTTGACAGCTTGCCAATCTTTCCTGAAGAGCTTGGTGGTGATACTACTGAGTACAGTTTTTCTATATTGTATGATCACATGTGTCCATATTTGGAAGATCTACATAACTCATTGAGCCAATCTTTTCTAAATGGGCAATGCATAGTGTTTCAAAATCATAGGTGGGTAAAAGATCTTTAAAGAGCAGGATAAGCCAATTCACTTAAGTGTAACAGATTATGAAAAGTTCTTTGCTATGGCTTCAGATTTCACATTGCAATGAACTTTTAAGAAGCTACCACTTGTTGAATTTTGATGTAGTATCAAAAAAGGATATCCTAAATTATCTGAAAAGGCTATTCAAAGACCTCTCCCCTTTTCCAACTGTGAGAGGCCATATTTCTTTCATACACTTCAACCAAAATGACATATCTCAACAGACTAAATGCAGAAAGAAGAGACTCCAACTGTCTGCTTTTAAGCCCAATAATAGATTTACAACAATATAAAACAATGCAACTCTTCTTACAATTGTATTTTTCACTAAATATATATTTATGTTAACAAGTAATGAACTTATTTTTAACTTTTCAATAAATTGGTAAATAAATATTTAAAACTTATCTCTTTGAAGCATTCAATATTTTAAAGAGTATATTGGCATCCTGAAACTAAAAAGTTTGATAATTTCTGTCCAAAAGCATGGATGCTGCAGTTAAAATGATTTTTAAAAAATAGACTTTTCTAATAGTTTTAGTTTCACAGCAATATTAAAAGGAAGATACAGAGATTTCCTATATACTCCCTGTCCCCACACATGCATCTCCTCCCCAATTATCAACATCACCCACCAGAATGGTACATCAGTTGAAATTTATGAACCTACATTGACATATCGTTGCCACCCAAATACCATAGTTTCCATTACTGCTCACTCTTGGGGTTGTATAGAATGATATGTGCATAATGATATGTGCCCACTACTATAGTACCAGACAGAATATTTTCACTGCCCCAAAAAATCCTCTGTGCTCCAACTATTCATCCCACCTCCCCTCCACCCCCACCCCCTGGAAACTACTGATCTTTTTACTGTCCTCATCATTTTGCCTTTAACAGAATGTCATGTAGTTGAAATTATACAGTATGTAGCCCTTTCATATTGGCTCCTTTCACTTAGTGATATGCATTTAAGTTCCCTTCATGTTTTTTCATGGCTTAATAGCTCATGATGACTATTAAGTGCTGAATAATATTCTATTGTCTGGATGTACTAGAGTTTGTCCTTTCACCTACTGAAGGACACCTTGGTTGCATGCAGGTTTTGGCAGTTAAATGAATAAAGCTACAAACATCTGTGTGTAGGGTTTTGTGTGAACATACTTTTCACCTCCTTTGGGTAAATAACAAAGAGAAATATTTCTGGATCAAAGGGTAAGAATATGTTTAGTTTTGGAAGAAACTGCCAAATTGTCTTCCAAAGTGGCTGTGGCATTTTGCATTCCCACCAGTAAAGAGTGAGAGTTTCTGTTGCTCCATGTCTTGGTCAGCATTTGGTATTTCAGTGTACTGGATTTTGGCCATTCTAATAGGTGTCTGGTGGTATCTCATTGTTGTCTTAATTTGTATTTCCCTGATGACATATGATGTGGAGCATCTTTTCTAGGCTTATTTGCCATTTTTATAACTTCTTTTATGAGGTGTCTGTTAAGTTCTTTTTTTAAAAAAAAAATCAGATTGTTTGTTTGCCAATTATTGAGCTCTAAGAGTTCTTTGTATATTTTAGATAACACTCCTTTCAGATGTGTCTTTTACAACTATCTTCTCCCGGCCTGTGGCTTGTCTTCTCATTCTCTTGGCATTGCCTTTTTAAGAGCAGAAGTTTCTAATGAAGTTTAGCTTATCAATTATTTCTTTCATGGGTCATGTCTTTGGTGTTGTATCTAAAAAGTCATCAACATACTCAAGGTCATCTAGGTTTTTCTCTTATATTATTTTCTGGGAGTTGCTTTAAAAATATTTTTATTGATTTTTTGGGAGAGAGGAAGGTAGAAGGAGGGAGAAACATTGATGTGAGAGCAGAATATTGATTGGCTGCCTCCTGCATGCCCCCTACTGGGGATTGAGCCTGCAGTCATGACCAAAACATTCTAGATGCCTGCCCTTATGGTCATGTAGTCCTGCAGAGCAGACAGCCACTTAAAAAGCCATCCCAGTTTAGGTTTCAAGAAAGGACAGAAGAACAATGGGAGGTACAGTATGGACCTACCCTAGGATGGGTAGTCAGGAAAACGAAATCAAAGGAAAATCCATATACATAAAAACAGACCAATTTTTAAAAATTAAACTTAATTTTAAAAAAATAAGTTATTTTCTCAGCAACTGGATTCCACAATTAATATCAGTATGATGTTTAAAATGTTATATTATTGCCCTGACCGGTTTGGCTCAGTGGATAGAGTGTCAGCCTGTGGACTCAAGGGTCCCAGGTTCGATTCTGGTCGTGGGCATGTACCTTGGTTGTGGGCACATCCCCAGTGGGGAGTGTGCAGGAGGCAGCTGATCAATGTTTCTCTCTCATTGATGTTTCTAACTCTCTATCCCTGTCCCCTGACCCTTCCTCTCTGTAAAAAATCAATAAAATATATTTTTAAAATGTTATATTATTAAAGAACTAGAGGCCCAGTGCACAAAATTCATGCACTGGCGGGTGGGGGTGGGGTGGGGGGAGGAGTGTTCCTCAGCTCAGCCTGCACCCTCTCCAATCTGGGATCCCTCCGGGGATGTTCGACCCCTGTGGGATCAGGCCTAAACCTGCAGTCGGACATCCCTCTCACAATCCAGGACTGCTAGCTCCTAACCACTCGCCTGCCTGCCTGCCTGATTGCCCCTAACTGCTTCTGCCTGCCAGCCTGATCACCCCCTAACCACTCCCCTGCCAGCCTGATTGACACCTAACTGCTCCCCTGCCAGCCAAATCACCCCCAACTGCCCTCCCCTGACATCCTGATGGCCCCCAACTGCCCTCCCCTGTCGGCCATCTTGTGACAATGTGGGAGTGGCCATCTTGTGATGACCTGGGGGTGGCCATCTTGTGACGCAAGGGCATGAGGGTCAATTTGCATAGTACCTCTTTATTATATAGGATAAGCTTAAATAAAATTTATTTCATTATTAAAACGTTTAATGTAGTAAAACTCAAAAGAAGCCAATGCAAAAGATACATATGTTATGATTCCATTTATTTGAAATTTTAGAACAGGAAAAATTAGTCTTTGATGATAGGAAATCAGAGTTGTGGTTGCCTGGAATGGGGGCAGAGGAGTGGATGGGAGCAGGGATTAACTACAAAGGATCTCGGGGTACTTTCTGGGATGTTGAGGATGTTCTCTATCTTTTCCAAATATGTTTTTATTAATTTTTAAAGAGAGAGAGAGAAAGAAAGAAGGAGAGATAGAAACATCAGCAAGAAACATTGATTGGCTTCCTCCTGTATGCCCCCTACCAGGCATGTGCCCTGACCCAGAATCAAACTGGTGACCTTTCAGTGCAATAGATGATGCTCAACCAACTGAGCCACACCAGCCAGGGCTGTTCTACATTTTGATAGGGATGTTGGTTACATGAGTACATGCATTTATCAGTACTCAGAGAACTGTATAACTAAAATCTGTATATTTCCTAGAATGTAAATTATTTCTCAACTAAAACTTAAATGCATAGAATTTTATATATTGTAATGTGTTACAGTTGATATAAATAACATTATGGAAATATGCATTCCTTGGTCACTTTGCCTGCCAGTGACCTGGCTTTCACAACCTTTATATCATCACTGGTGGAAGATTTCTGACATCTTCCTGATCTTATGCCATGTGAATATACGCAGGTCCTCGAATAACTTCATTTCCTTCAACGTTGTTTCGTTTATATGTTGATAAGATGCCTTGGGAACTTAACTCTTGTTTAGCTCAATTAGCCTGTGGTAAAATTTGTTTAGTTATATGTTGTCTTTCTTAAAGTTGCAGAACGTATCCACAACATTGACTTACTATAAATAACGTTGCTTCTGTTTTTCCAGTTTTTCATGCTTTCTTTCTTATCAAAAGTGGACAAGCTAGAAGGATCTTTTCCACAATGTTAAGAATGGTGTTATTTTGGGGTGAGGAGATATTAGGTGAATTTTACTCCTTTTTCTTCACTGTATTGTTTGAGTCTGTAACAAGGATCATGAGTTTTGTTTTGTTTTGTTTTTTAATGCTCTCAACACAAGAGCTCCTTTTGTCTTGTCCTGGAAAGTACGTTTCTCCTTGGGTACTGTATAGTCATTTGAAAACTGGGGTTTATACAATGGTTAGGAACACATTTCCTCCCAGGCAGCGGGCCCTGTGAGTGATTGTTAATGGTCATGGGGTCTCGGTAAATGGATGCTTTCCTGCCTCGTCTGTCTCCGCCATACCGCTCCTGTTCAGTCTCTCTGTGGTGCTGGGGCACCGTGCTATGGATTTGGGGTACTTGGAGGTGCTCTCCAGCTGCCTGCGCCTCTCACCTGCCTCCTTCGCCCTGTGCTCACAGATTCTTACCTGACCCTCGATGAACCCATGAATAACATCACCACGTCCCTGGGGCAGACGGCTGAGCTGCACTGCAAAGTCTCTGGGAATCCGCCTCCCACCATCCGCTGGTTCAAAAACGACGCGCCTGTGGTCCAGGAGCCCCGCAGGATCTCCTTTCGGGCGACCAACTATGGCTCTCGGCTGCGGATTCGAAACCTGGACACCACCGACACGGGCTACTTCCAGTGCGTGGCGACCAACGGCAAGAAGGTGGTTTCTACCACCGGAGTCCTGTTCGTCAAGTTTGGTAAGCAGCCTCCTACCTGGGAGGGCCTTTGGCCTTCAGCCTCCATGGGGGTCCTAGGGGGGGCGGGGAGCACATACTGAGAATGTCCTGTGTGCCCAGCCACCCTAACGCTGGCACCATTGCACCATTTTACAAAGTCAGAAGGCTCAGTAGTTACCTACCGTGCTCAGGGTTGACCACCAGAGCAGGAGTAGAATCCAGATCGCGCTGAGCCCCCAGCGCCTCCTCTGTGCCCGTGAGAGGGAAGTGGGACAGGTTTGCAGCACACGTGCTCTTTTCTGTCCAGGGGCCAGCAAAGGCCCCTGCTGGTACAGTCAGTGTCGGGGTGCAAGCACTCAGCCTCCCACTGGAAACTCCCTGCGTCCTGCGAGGACTCATTTTTCAGCCCTTGTCTTAGCATTTGCCCTCAACTGTAGGGTATAGACAAGTTCTCACTGGTATGCTATTTTGTAGAGGTGGTTGGGAGGAGGGAGCGCGACTGGGGCAAAATAAGAAATCCCAGAAAAATAAGTATCACTTCAGGAGGTTTGAGAACTTTAATCTGCCGTGGTTTGCCTGCACCCATGCCTGCGGGCCAGTAACCCAGCCTGACAGTTTCCTTTGTTTTTCTTTCATTTCTTCAGGCCCCCCTCCCACTGCAAGTCCGGGATCCTCGTGAGTACTTTTATCTCCTCCCTTCTTATGTCTAAGTGTTTCTCCAGAGATTTCTAGGGCAAAGGCAATGTTATCGGCTGCTTGGGCCAAGACACAGTGTTTCCAGATTTCATTCCGTTTGGCCCTGCCCTCATTCCATTTTGCTTTGTCTCTGATATGAAGATTCACAGGAGACTAGCATTGGCAGTACTCTCAGGCATGGTGGTGTTGATTCTGAATGATCAAAGCAAAAATCTACTTACATTTACTATTTGAAAATTAATCTAACATTATTTACAACAGTGAGTTTTATAAAATGAAGCCAACAAGTGATACAGTACTGTCTTAAGAACTCATACTCTGGCCTTTAGTGTAAAAGGGCCTATTCTGGGTTTCTGTAAGCATGTGCTTTGGGCATTTAACGGGTCAACAATTAGGTGATCACTTTATTTTTTATTCCCTTTAAAGAACTCAAAGGCTGAAGTTCTGACTCACATAGGAGAAGAAAGCCCTGTGCCTGGGTAGAGAGTTACATGAAGTTTGATTTATTCTGAGTTCCTTGTTAACAGAGTCCAAAGATCCAATTTCTTTCACTGACACTATTGTTGATGCATTTGTCCATTTTTCTGGCCAAGGGATTTTCTTATTTTGCTCCATAAGTGTCCACTTAAGGTATTTTTTATGTGTATTTTTATTTGGCGGGAGGGGACTCATCTATTAAAGCTCTTGCTTTGCAAGAAAATATTTTTTATATTTTTAGACTTCTGAAATAAAATTCACCAGGTTCTGCCACAAGAGCATCAAAACGTCTGACCTAGACTATACCCGTGGCAAACATAGCCACTTTATTTGCTCTAATCCCTTCTGTGCCACTAATTACAATGTGGGATATTTTAATATATGTGTATGTGCCGGGGGCCCAGTGGCCCACAATCCCATTTTTAATAAAAATAGGTAATGGACAAAAATAAACATTGGCCATCAGCCACACTGTTCTGCTATTTTACCAGCTGGTTAAAGGCAACTGTAAAAGAAATCTTTAAAATCACCCAAGTGCTAATTGCATTCTACTTGCCCAGGTAGAAAACCTTGATTGATCTAAAATAGGTCAGAACTTTGGTCACTCTGCGTTGCATTTCTCGAAGTTAATCTTTTTTTTTTTTTTTAATGATCTCAGGATTGATTGATATGTGGAATCTGTTTGAAGTCTTATTTAAACAAAGATTACAACTTTTGTTCCTCGCTGTAAAAATGCTTCCCACCCGGGTACCTTATTTGTTCCTGTTAATCTGTGTTTCAAATGTGGTTGATAATCTGTATCCCAGGTTGATTAATGTGGTTTTCACTAATCTGCCTGTGTTACTAAGCACTGGACTTTCTGCCTGTTGTATTTGCATCAGAAAGCTCCTTTCTTTTGGAAGTTTTACTTTGCTGCCACCTTTCTGATGAACCCAGTCTATCTCACATGTTTTTTAATTTTAGATAGTACAGAAGCTCCCCCTCATCTCTGGGGGGTACATTTCAAGACCCCCACCAGGTGTCTGAAACCACAGATAGTACTGAACCCTGTAGATGATGTTTTTTCCTTAAACATACATCCTCTTTATGGCTTCTCTTTGGCATTTCCAAATTGCCAGCATCACTACTCATGCGCTTTGGGGCCATTATTAAGTAAAATGAGGGTTACTTGTTCACCAGCACTGTGATACCAGGACAGTTGGTCTGATAACAGAGACAACTACGAAGTGACTAACAGGCAGGTAGCATATACAATATGGATACACTGAACTAAGGTATGATTCACGTCCTGGGCAGGATGGAGAGGTGAGGAATGGCGTACAATTTAAAACTTATGAATTGTTAATTTCTGGAATTTTCTATTTAATATTTTTGGACCAAGGTTGACCGCAGGTAACTGAAACTATAGAAAGCAAAATCGCAGATAAGGGGGGCTGACTATTATGTACTACTTTTGTGAGCTGATGTCTACGAAGAGGGTATTGAAGTTCTTAAAGATGCTTAACCATAGCTCAAAGTATCCTTTGATGTCAGGCTGTTTTATATTAGCTGTCCACTTTTCCATCATGTTAGTCAGTGAGAGCATGAAATGCATAGCTGCCATTTTTGCTTGGACGGAGCTTGCAGTAAGATGCAATTGGCATGGGAAATTGATTGGCCATTCAATCTTCATTCTCATTGGGGCATTGCCAGTTGGCATTTTTATATTCTTTTTTCTCTTTTCCTTAGAAATTGATGACGTATCCTGCTTTTTTTCCTCAGCTGCCACTACTTAACGCTGTCTCTAAGAGTTTCTCTCTTCCTAAGATTAACTCCAAAATAAAATGCTAGTTCCTTTCCCTGTCCTCATAGTCCCCAACAAGAAGCCAAACCTCGCGACAATGGAACAGGTAGAACATCACAAAATGACCGCCATGGGGAACATCACAACATTTAGGATTGCTCCAAAAGCCTTTGTCAAACTGCACAGTCCTTTTTCCAAGAGAGGAGTGAAGTGCATTTATAAACTTGCTCTATTTACTTGAAGGGGGCACAGCAGAGTTACTATAAGGAGATCAAATGCAAGTCCATGGCACAACCCTAACGTTTGATGAGTGAAATTTAGGTGAATGAGACATAGTGAGAGCTAAGTGCCATTTGAGGCCACAGCGCTGGCTACACCACTGCCAACTGGGAGGGGCTTGTCCCTCAGGTCTATGGCCCAGGAAGGCAAGGCATGTGAGGTACTGGTCACTCCCTGTAGGGACTGCATTCGATGTTCACATGAAGCTTCTAGGATGGCATTCTAGTTTGTAGTAGGAGCAAGTTTGAGACGTTAGTAGTTTGGCTTCTGTTCATAGCTTCAGACTTTATTTTCTGTCATTGCTGGGTCCTGGCCCACCTCGAACAATACAGGGCCTGGGGCATGAGTACAAGAGGAGGCTCACATACCACACGTCTAAATATTTAAAAGTCATAAATCACGCTAGCAGACTGTTAGATGAAATATGTTCTATCCTCCCACGCTGACAAATATACCTTCATAATGACAGAATAAAAAATACATGCAGAGTTATGGTTTTTATCTGACTGAAAGCCAGGAACTATCAAAAGACGACTTTAATCATTATTATGCATGTCTTGGTGTTCTGTTAATGGGCCAGAGATATTATATATAATTTATAGATTGTTATATATGAGTTCCATTAAACTTTTTTTATGGCCTTCACTTCAGCAAAATGACTACCTATGTTGTTTTACACAAGGTTTTTACATACTGCTTTTTTCTGGGCAACAATGCCAGATTAGACAAACTTTCTTGAGTCACTGTATTTCTTACTTCTTAAAACTAATTATAATTTGGAGAAACTGCTTTCTTGAGCCAGTAGAGGCTATAATTCTCAATGAAATTCCTAAAGCAGTACTTAAATTTGCAAAGAATTTTAGCAAATGAACTAAGACCTTTGTATCTCATATTTAAATGGAGTAATAGGGTCATATAATAAATAATCATTATTGTAGAATATATTACAAAGTATGATTTCATCTTAAAATCAGTATCATGTTTTACACATTATCCTGTATGTGTACAAACTTAAGAGTAATGTGAATTGTTTAATGTATTAGTTTTCTAGGGCTGTCATAATAAATTATAGCAACTGAATGGCTTAAAGTTCTTATCTCACAATCTGGAGGCTTGAAGTGGGAGATCAAGATGTTGACACGGTTGGTGCCCTCTGAGGGTTATGAGGAAGACTCTTCTGGTGATTTGCCACCATTTTTTAAAATGTCTTTATTGGTTTGAGAGAGAGAGACAGGGAGAGGGGGAGAGAGAGAGAAACAACATGTGAGAGAGAAACATCTATCATTGCCTCCACATAACCTGGGTATATTCCCTGACCGGGAATTGAACCACAACCCTTCCATGCACAGGATGATGCTCAACCAACTGAGCCACACCAGCCAGCATTCTTTGCTTGTAGAAGTATCACCACAGTTTCTGCCTTGATATTCACATAGCCTTCTCCTTGTTTGTGCGTCTCCGAGTTTCCTCTTTTTATGAAGACACCAGTCTTATTGTATTAGGACCCATCTCAATAACCTCATTTTAACTTGATTACCTCTATAAGGACCTTATTTCCAAGTAAGGTCATATTCTGAGATACTGGGTATTAGGACTTCAACATATGGATTTGGGGGTGGGGAACGGGATAATTCTACCCATAACACTTAATATTGCAAAATTTTTCACATCCATGTGAAACTCTTGTAAACCTTAATTTATGAGAACTTGCAGAAGCACTGGCTGCAATGTAAAGAAAAGTGGGAAGCCCAGCTGGTGTGGCTCAGTGGTTGAGCGTCGACCTATGAACCAGGAGGTCTCAGTTCAATTCCCGGTCAGGGCACAGGCTCAGGTTGAGGGCTCAATCCCCAGCATGGGGCATGGAGGAGGCAGCCAATCAGTGATTCTCTCTCATCATTGATGTTTCTAGCTCTCTCTCCCTCCCTCTTCCTCTCTGAAATAAATAAAAAATATACTTTAAAAAAAAGAAAAGCAGGGAAAGCTTGGAAATATTGGGAATGATGGTTGGTTGTGTAAGAACCTATTGCATTCAAACTGGAAAATTTTGACAAATTGATTTAATTATCTGTTCTCTTGTTGAAGTGCTTTTGCCACTGCTACCCTTCCTGTGCTCTGAGCATTATCCATATCCTCCACTGGCAGTGGCACAACACACAAACTTTTGCAGTTGCCTTCCGATACAGGGACATAGGGCAAGAGCTGTATGTGTCTCCTGGACCAGAACAGTGTTAGTCCCAGGAGTGGATGTTAAAGGTTTGGAGTATGCTGTGCCAGCACTGACTGACGGAGTGCCAGATCCCAGGGGCAGAGGATCCCTTGCGTGCTCTTTACTCTTATAAATTATTTGTTGTGTACTTTTTGTATGTGGACTCCAGGCAAGAGGAGTTGTTGCTGTTCTTCTTCTTCTGTATGTGGGTTCTTCTCTGACACATATTTTCCT